TGCTAGCCATTCTAAAGCAGCCAGGGGTTGATTCTAAATGAGCCAAAAAGCAGAGACAGGAGCAATTGTCAAACTTTTGGTGTCCATCATTCGATTTCATCCTGGACACTACAGAAAATGGGCTTAAAGTGTAAAAAACCGAACTTCTCCTTTAAGAAGATTTTTTTCTAAATTAAACCAGATGAAACTAAAATGTTCCACTTGAGGAGTTCTGAATTGAACATATTAACAGATCAAAAGGGTTTTTTTGTTGTTGTTTTTTTTTATCTTAAATGCAAAATGTTTATATATTTTTTTACAATTTTGTTTTAATTACTGCTCTAAGTGGGTCGCTCTGTCTGCTAAAGGCATGTTTACAGTCTTTATGCTCCATTTCACAATTAATCGATTACTAAAATAGTTGATGATTATTTCAGTAATCAATTAATCCAGTTAATTGTTTTAGCCCTAGTATTTCGCAACTTTTTTGGACTCTAAACAAGTTTAAATTCAGGCTGAACAGGGTCACAGTTCAGTCTGTCTACAACCAATCAAAATTGGTGTAAAAAACAAAAATATAGGAACCCTGATACCACCTGAGCTTGACCACATCAACCACCAGCATCATCCAAACCCAGGGGCAGAGCTAGATGGGGGGCCAGGGGTGGCCATGGCCACCCTTAGCCAATCACTGGCCATCCCTACAATTTCTTTCTCTCAAGTAGAATATTCAAAGCATTTTAATTTTATATATATTAACAATTACCTGACAACAAAAAGACTGCGGTTAATTATGCACATCAATATACGAACATTAGAGATGATTAGTACAGAATTTATGCTCTTTCAGAACTAGATTTTTTGTTATATGCCATAAAGACAAAATGATGTTTAAGAGTCTTCAGTGAAATCATAGATTATGTAAATAACTATTTTAACAAAATCCTATTAAATCATTATTTTATGTAGATATTAATACTTGTAAATATAAATTTAATGCAGAATGATATTGATAAAAGTAGGTAAGTAATGATGATGGAAAAGATGTTCGCTCCAGAATTCAAAGAATTTTATCCAATATAGCATTTATCTAGACGGATGTTTAAATATATGCATCTATTTACTATAGTTTGTCTTTTTTTTAGAAATATGGACGCTGTGTTTAAACCTGGTGCCTATCCACTTTCGGCACCCCCTCAGTATACATTGGTTATTGCCTGGCCACCCTTATGAAAATGTTCTAGCTACGCCTCTGTCCAAACCAGATGTTCATTCACCACCTGTTCTTTATCAGCTTATGCCCGCACATATCAACCATCCAGCAAATCTCCCAGTTAAGAAGACAAGAATCTTATTAAAGTGTGCAAACCTATATAGACATACAATAAAAGAGAATAATCCATCCAATCAAGCTTGTGCAGAGAGTTCAGACAGAGTTTCCAATCAAGCTGCAGGTCCTCACATCAGGAATCACAAAATACAAGCAGCAGTTAAATCTTGCACTCATCTCATATGCATTCATGTGTGCATTTTTATGTTATTGTGGCAGCATGCTGCACACAGCAGCCTCCCCGCAGTGAGCTGCTGCTCTAACCTGGGCCTCCACATCTGACTGGAGACACACAGCTGCACTGCGAGCAGCTAATCAGCTAAAGCTACAGCCAGACTCACACACAGAAATGATGCACATCACACCCCCTCTGATCAACCACACAGCCCGATAGATATCTATATCTATATATATACTTTCCAAAGGAGCGGAGCGAGGCTGTGATCCTCCCTGTCAATGAGCTGAAGCCCAGCAGAATGAACCAACACACGGATCACTGCTGCATCAATGCACGGCAGGCAAGAGGAGAACGACAGTGATGGGCTGCTACTCACATTTCTGCCATACCAGGGCTTTTTTTTATTATGAATATATTTCAGCTTTAATGCGAAACGAGCACCGAGGCTGCGATGCGATATCTGCGGCTGCTGCTGCTGCTGGTGGCGGTGGTAGCAGGAGCGGGATGTGGCACTCTGACGGAAAAGTCTCTGCTGAATGATGCGCTGAGTGCGGAGAAAATGTTATTTTTTTTTCTTCCTATTACGCCCCCCTACTGCAGCACGGGCCTCCCTGCCTGTATGACATTTCCCGAGCAGCTGGGGTGAGAGTTCACAGCCAGTCAACGAGGCTGAGTTGAGCGGAAAGAAGGTAAGGAACGCCGGAGGACCAGGGAGGAAAAAGGTGTGTCTGGGAGGAGGAGCACTGGGAGACACTGGAGCATCCCTAACCTCCTCTCAGATAGATCACCTTTTCCTAAAAGATGTAATTAAAAGCCTGAGGAAACTTTAAAAGTACAGCATTGATAATGAAAAAAAAAAACAGAAAAGAAAAAAGGAATTTTAGAATAGAATAGAATAGAATAGAACAGAATAGAATAGAATAGAANAGAATAGAAAACCCCTTTATTGTCCCACAATGGGGACATTCTGGTGTTTGCAGCAGCAAAAAGATTATAGAAAAAATTCTCACACAAATAAGGATCTTAGAAAAATGTATAAGAATAACATACTAGTGAAGAGTTAAAAGATAAACAATAAAATACTACTGTAAAGTGTGTAAAATTGTGCACCTGGAGAGTAAATAACCAATATACAGCTATGGACATTTTTACAGTAATTTGAAAATACCAGCAATATCAGAGATGTGCAAAATGACAGCAGCATATTATTTAACGGACTAAGTTAGAAACTGTGCAAAATCAGCATTAAAGGGGAACACCGTTTTATTTTTTTGCACTGGCCCCTTGATTTTACATTATTACATCATGTTCTACTCACCCATATGAGTTTTGTGTCATTTGGAGCTGTTCTGAAGATATTCCGTAACGTCTTCCTATGGGCAACGACTTGAAGGCACAAACTAAACTGTTCATAATTTATTCTTTATGGTACGCCAGCATTCATAACATGGCGTCAACTTAAGTAACAAATGTGTGTACTTTGAAACCACTGAACATTATCCAACAGAGGTGTTAATTTAGTTAGGATCCATTTGCTTCCCACCTCCTGCACGTCCAGAGGATCTCCAATCATGAGCTGGCTTTTTTGATGCACCTAGAATGCTGTTTTTACTTCAATCTCAAGGCTTTCTGTTAAAAATGTAAAAAGGGGTGATAAGTCCATTTAAATGGTCAGTTGTTGTAGTCTTTTGCATACAATGGGTGAGGTTAAAATGGGAAGTCACTCATAAACCTGCGTTTGGGGTAGATTTCCTTATATACTTTAGTACTGTCTGCTTCAGTCTCCTTGAACCCCAGTCGGCCTCAGCAGATGGCCGCTCAGACTGAGTCTGGTTCTGCTGGAGGTTACTTCCTGTTAAAAGGGAGTTTTTCCTCTCCACTGTCGCTACAAGCATGCTTAGTGTGAGGGATTGCCTTCGAGTCAACGAGTCGACGCAAT